TATTCCCCTGGGTTCTTTTATATTATTTCTTGTTTCTTTCTGTATTGCTAATAATCTTTATTTATGCCCATCAATATATGTTTTCAAGCTTATTTGGAATTTTTCATCAGCATTTCCTAATCACTCTGGTTTATTGTATACTTTGTTCAGTTTGTTGGCCTTCCTTTGGAATGGTTGTATTCCTGAGATGTCTAATTGTCTTGGCCAAGGAGTTCCTGTTTTTGGAGTAAATAGTCTCTAATGTCTTTTGGGGAGTAGCCAAAGACCAAGTCATGGCTTTGTGGATCCTGGTGAATTTAAAGAGAATGGAGGGAGTGAGCCCCAGGGTAAAGATCTAGTCACCTTGGAGTATCCTAGATACTTTCCTGTGCTGCTACTCTACCCGGACAACTTATACCTGGTCACTGCCCCTCATCCCACCCTACCCCCCTGTTATAACCTGCCAGTCTTGTGGTGTTGGAGAAGAAGGAAGGGCAGGAGTGAATGCCCAGTTTGGCTGCTTAGTGCATACTTATTTGTTTTCATGAACTCCTTACTCCTTTAGGGCTTTTGTGCTGCCCTGAGAGTGTTCTGTGGACACTGGTACCAGCAGGGGGCCTATTGCTGCAGGTGATGTCCCAGAGTGATGAGAAGTTGAAGACCAGAACATAATAAAACTCTTTCCTCTATCCTATTCTTTATTGCAGTGGCCTCCAGCTGTTCTCTAGACTGCTCTCCCCCCCACCTTCCTCAAAATATACACTCATTTGAGAAGCCTAGAGTTTCATTTTTATTTTTTTTCCTTTTCCTTTTTCTCCCCCCACCATTAAATACTAATTCCTGAAATGCATGTGTCCCCTCTGTTTCTGTAGCTTCTCCAGGGTTGATGTCTGGAGTTAGAGCCAGCAGCCCCCCTAACTAGTTTGCCCTCTTGGCTGACCCTATAGTTCCCCATGCCTCTATCTTCCCCACTCTTTGCCTCCCTTCATCACCTAGCACTGAGTTCTATGGGTGAATGTATGTTCATGGTCTTTACTGTCCTGTCAGTTCAGGCCTCCATTCTTGAAAATCAGTACATGGAAGTCTGCCTACAAACAGTCTGCAGACCTCAAGTTAGGCCTGGTGTGTCACTGAGAGTTTCCCAAAGCATGTTTTGTCTCCCAAATATCTGAAATGGAAAAGCACCAAACCAGCACTGTATGTGAAAAAATCTCTGGATAGAAAAAGAAGTCATTACTATAGAAAGAAACCCTTTAAACTATAGAAATATGCACTTCATCTAAAATCCACTCATATTTGAAGGAATCTGTGGACCATGAATTAATTTTGGACCAAAGAAGATACATATTGTGAACTGTCTCCATCCTCTCAATCAACAGGAGACAACAATCTGGTAGAGTTAAGAGGGAAAGAGTCTTACTTTGGTAAGTGTAGGATGGTGCAGTAGGGCCAACCAAGATGACCATTTAAAAAGCAAAGGGGGGGCGCCTGGGTGGCGCAGTCGGTTAAGCGTCCGACTTCAGCCAGGTCACGATCTCGCGGTCCGTGAGTTCGAGCCCCGCGTCGGGCTCTGGGCTGATGGCTCAGAGCCTGGAGCCTGTTTCCGATTCTGTGTCTCCCTCTCTCTCTGCCCCTCCCCCGTTCATGCTCTGTCTCTCTCTCTGTCTCAAAAATAAATAAACGTTAAAAAAAAATTTGTTAAAAAAAAAAAAAAAAAAAAAAAGCAAAGGCACTGGGCACTCTGGATTCAGATCCTAGCCTGGCCACTTACTAATCGGGTGACTGTGGTGGATGCATGATTTAACTTCTTTTTCACTTAGCTTTCTCGTCACTAAAATGGGGTTAAAAACAGGTTAAGTTGTTACAAAGAGTAGGTAAGCTAATGTCTGTAAGTCTATTCTTTTTTTTTTTTTTTTTTTTTTGAGAGAGAAAGAGAGAGTGTGTGTGTGTGCACGAGCAGGGATGGGGAAGAGAGAGGGAGAGAGTGAGAATCCCAAGCAAGCCCCATGCTGTCAGCACAGAGCCTATCACAGGGCTTTGATCCCACGAACTGTGAGGTCATGACCTGAGTTGAAATCAAGAGTTGGACACTCAACCTACTGAGCCACTCAGGCACCCCATAAATCTATTCATATTGACTATAGTTTTTCAGTGATTGGTGTTCCTTTTCTTCTTGTTCTTGTTCTTGTCCTTCTTCTTCTTCTTTTTTTTTTTTTTTCATTTTATTTATTTCAGAGAGAGAGAGAGAGACTGTGTGAGCAGAGAGGGGCAGAGGGAGACAGAGGGAGAATCTCAAGCAGGCTCCATGCTCAGTGTGGAGCCCAACATGGGGCTCAGTCCCACAACCCTGGGATCATGACCTGAGCCAAAATCAAAAGGTAGATGCTCAACTGAATGAGCTCAACTGACTGAGCCACCCAGCCTCTGCTCTTTATTCTTTTCTTCTTAAATCATCTCTATGCAAGGAATGTTCTCCATAACATTAAGCCCCCATGACAATAACCCTCTTGTGATGACAGCATGCAGAAGCTGTAATGCATGGGCACAGCAGGGAAATGCTTGCAGCCCTGGGAGTAACCACCCACCCTGCTGTGCACACATTTCAAGAGTTTGCAGCTGGGTGTATGTTTAGGTGCAGGGTCTCTGTGTGAGACTGGTGCACTAGCTTTGATTAGCCAGTCTGGCAGGAGTGGATGGAGACAGATTTCCTGACATTATATTTTGAACATATTTTTCCCCTCCCCTCATTAAAGACATCTCAACTGGTTTTACTGAATTTCTATTCAGCGCTTCACTTGTAATACTCTGAGATTTTATTTGGAAGCAATTTCTCCAAATAAAATAGGAAGTCTCTTCAGTAAAGGAGATTACAGGGACATGCAGTGGCATTGCTGGTCAGTCAGCCAAGAGCTGGGGCACAGTTTGAGTCTCAGTGAAAGCATTTCTGGAAAGTTAGAGAGAAGGCATTGAATTTCTGTGAGGGGAGGAAATGGACACTGATCAGTGACCTAAGAGACTGGCTGGTCAATGCTTAAGATAATAAAAAATCTCTGAAATCTTTCAGAGATGCTCACTAATCTCAATGGGGCAATAATATATGATGTTAGAAAATCTTCCCAAGTTGAACTGTGTTTTCTCTCCTTTGAGGCTTCATATTATCCATAGGTATTAAACACATGTAAATTCTATATCCAGAAGAACAGAAATAATCAGAAAGATAGTTCTTCATTTTCAAATGTCGGCTTTCTACCTTGCTTGACTCTCACAATCACACATTATTATTCTTTCTTTTATGCTTCTAGTTATTGTTACCCCATGTTTGCCCCACTGCTGCACATACACACAAGGTATCTATGGATTAGTTCAGTAAAATCAATTTTATGTAAACTTAAGCTAGGAGGGAGGCATCTTGTCTACTCTTTCAAAATAATAAATGGACCTTCCTTCTGAGTTTATCTGCTTGCTTTTCTAAATATGGCTTCTGATTTTCTCTCTTCATGAATATGCTTATTTGAAACTCTGAAGTGTTAACTCCCCGATAAGAAGTATAGCCAATGGAAGAATCACTGTTTTAGACCTGGTTCTTGAGAAAATGAGTCCTTGCTAGGTATTTATGCAGAGATCTTGTTCTGAGAATGTTTCTTGTAACTTGAGCTGTCCTGCCCAGTACTAATAAGGAGGAAAGGTCACATTCAGCTACCAGTTCCAACCACATTTGTCCCGTTGTTCTCCCGCCCCAAAGATATCCATGGTTATGGTTTTAGGGTCATGGTTGACTTGGCAGGTTTTGATACATACCATTGACCCAGGAAAGAAGCAGTCACCACTGCAAAGAAACTTTGCCATGATAACTATGATAAATAAATATTTGTCGTAGAGTTAAATGGAAGGTGTGTGAAATGCCTGTTGAATCAATGATAATGAATGAAGGAATGAATGAGAAAGGCTGGAGCCTCATGACAATAGCATTTCTGTTATTTCTTTCTCAACATCTTTCCTCTTTTAAGAACCATGATATCTATGTGTATCCAAAGGCCTATTTGGGATCTTTTTGTAGTAGGGATCAAAGCAGGTGGGCAGCTGACCACCTGAGTTCAGGTTGCCTGCTGAAGAATCAGGTTTTATGGATGATGGAAAATTCCTTTTGTTTTTCAAGATCTCAAGGGTAATAATATTCATCTGTATTGCCTATTGGGACACAAAGAGTAAGATATAGCCCTTATGTATCTTTTCTGAAAAAGTTCTCCAGCTCTTATGAGGACAATAGTTGAACTGCACAGAACCTACAGATGGCTCCTGTTCCCCATTATTAGTCTGTCACAGTTCTAATTTCATCCTCATCTTTCCATTTCATGCTTTCCAGATATGAAAACCTTTCCAATGGTGGCCTTTATGCATTCTAATGACATGTAGTTAGTTGCCTTTTATCCTGCCTTAGTGTCTCTCCCAAACTATATTAAAAATCAATGATCGTAACAATTCTAATGATCTGATGTGATATTGGACAGTTTCAAGTCTGGTCCCAGAATAATGAAAAAAAAAAAAAAAAAACCAAAACAGTCAAGAACAATAAAAGGATTTGATACTTTTTGCCCTAGATTTCTTTGCTGTGCTTCCCAAACTTATGCAATATAGATCAAAGGTTGTGTATGGTTTTTGTATTATCAAGGGAATGAGAGCTGAACTTTGGAGTTTATAGTCAAATTGAAGATGTTAGATGATCACACTGACAAAGGCAATAATCTCAATGTTTTTGCACATAAGTTTTCTAACCTATGCTTTTGGATTATCTTTCCCCCTCTTGTAACACAAACTAAATGGGATGTTAGCAGCCCATGGCTGAAATGAAAAACAAACAAACAAAAAAACAAAAAACCCCACAAAACTGAACATGGAATGAGCAGGAGACAAGATGAATGTAATGAAAGATGAAGAATATATTTCTTTAGAAAAATAGGCACATATACATCTTTTTGCTTTTAACATACTCTGTATTAATTTATAGATATACATAGCGTAAGCATTTCACATCATTTTGGCACTGTGTACAATTCTACGGAAAGCTGTGTTGTTTTTCAGCCCGTACTATAACAGCACAATAATGTCTAGAATATTTAGCAATATAGTATCACATTTGTACTAGAGCTGCCTCAAATACTCTGTTTTCCATGTTTGTAAACGAAAATAGGAACACCACTACATAAACACTGTGATTGAAAAAATACCTTCTTTTCAGTTCCTCCTTTACATTCAGTAAAGGAGACTTAAGCCACTTTAGTATCCAAAATACATTTTCACTGAAGGAATATAATTTTTCTTCGGGTGCACTAAATATGTAACCAGAACAAATCAACTTTTTGTTTTCCCACAACTAGATCACCTCTGAAAGGCAGTGGCATCAAGGACATAGATGAGACTTGAGATTTGGAGGGTTTTGGTGGATCTCTTCATTTAGCACAAAAGTAAATGATGGTGACTCGGATTACTGTTGCAAATTCACAAATGAATTTTAGGTGCCAGCAATGATAACTGGTTTATTCAGGGATTTTTAAGGATTTTATACTGAGGAAGTGAAGAGAGACATGGGAATATAATATTGGGTTTTCAGAAGAACCTCTACTTTCATTTTAAATGAACTGGTGGATGGTCAAACTTGTAGCAGTTACTTTTCCTCCTCCTGTCTTGCTAATAGCAGCAAACAAGAGGTCAACTACAAACTGATTTCTAATTAGCCCTACTGAATCTTCCTGGAAAAGTTGGAGATCTTGTTAAGCTTTGAAGCTGGGTGGAAGGCAGTTAATGGATTTATATGGAGTCTTTTAATTACCAGTCTTAAACAAATTTATCTTTTACTGCTAGATAGCACCCAAGGGCAAGAGGTAATCTGCTTTATAAACCTTAGAGTGATTTGCTTTATAAATCCTGGAGCTTAGGAAAGTGGAAAACTCTTTAAAGAGAATATTCTCTTCCACTAGAAATTATATTTTTGGCAGTTTTGTGAAAAATTTAGTGATGGATTCTTTGTGACCTCCCAGTGTATAAATGTCAAGGACCAAAGCATATTCAACATGAAGGCCAGCTCCTTCAGCAGGTAGACCTGTTCGGTGGACAAGATTATCCAAAACCAAACTGAGTGTACGATATTAATAAACCAATTAACAAGGTGGCCCATCTAATGTTTTGAGCAAATTGACTCTAAACTTCTTTTTTATTCAGAGCATTACACCTTCCTGCCAAATGCAAGTCTGTCCCCCGACATTCTTAGTCATCTCTATATTAGAAAGCCACTCGGTCTTGCAGAGGTCATGTAATTTGTGCGGTTTACATTGTGTGGATGGTAAAACATCTGAGTAATATTGGAATTGGTTGAAATAAAAAAATTAAAAATCAGATCCATAGCCAAATACAGAAATATTCTAATTCAAAGTCTAGAGTTAAAAAGAAAAATAGTGACCGTGATTTTGATTTTTCAAAGTTATAAATGGCTCAAGATTAACAAGGAGCACCCTGTTTCTGAACTAGGTCAATTTAGTCGTGTTTCTCTTGGATACTTTGCTTGCATTACTATGACATCTGCATCTCGGTCCTAGATGAAAGATGGAGATCACAAGTGATGCAGTGGGAGACCCCATTCCTAGACTGTCTCCCACAGCAATAGTACCAAGGATAACTTTCTCCAGATTTACTATGGACAAATTCACTTAATAATTCTTCACGAATGATATGCTCAGCTCCTGGGAGGATGGGGATCACTTTAAACACATGGTCTGTCTGTCTCCCAGGAAATGAAGGCTCAGTGATCACGATGTAAGCTTCACATTCAAGCGGATGACTCTTGCTCAATGATCTCCAAAGCGATGACCTCTGCACCCTCCTCGCCCAGGTTGTTGGCGGCTTCGTTCCTCGGCTCCTGATGGCAGATGTAAACCGGGATGTCGCCGGCTTCAGCTGCGGCTGCGGCAGCGGCTGCAGCAGCGGCTGCAGCGTTGGCAGCAGAGCGGCGGGGGTTCCTGCTCCCCCAGCGCTGATCCCACTGGGTTTTGAATTGGGCCCAGTGGCGCTTCACGGTGGTTTGGACCTGGAAGAGAAAAGGCGACCTTGTTTTCGTATAATTGTCAGAAAGGACCTGAGCTGTTTATGAGTGAGCACAATTCTAGGAGCTCATCAGAGGTTAAAGGAGATCGAATCGTAATTCTGATCCAAAGGACTGTGCAGGATAGGATCTGGTTGGGGAACATACCATCTTGGCAGAAGAATTTACAAACTGGAGAAGTGAGTTGCTTGCCTAAGCTACCACTGGCAAGGTCATTTGCTCTTTTGAGTAAAAGTCTGTTCTTTAGCTCTTCTACCCAATCAATGAAATTTGACTTGGTTTCATACCCAATATGGTATACATGTCATATCAGAGGAAAAGATTTTGAGAAGTTTTTATCTGCTACCACCTCTGGTAAGGCAGAAACTTTCATCTAAACCTACACATTATTGGTCATGATGGAAAGCGTTGCACAGTTCTGGGTTTTATGATAATGACTTCACACTGGTGATTTTCCTTTCTCCAACATGGCTTGAGAGCGGATGTGCGAGGTAAAACTCTGGTTAATGGAGTGACAAGCTTTTAAGAAGAAAATTTCAATCTCTTTCTATTGAGAAACTTCTAGTATGTAAATAAACTCATCAAACATACTTTATAAATATGATGAACTCTATCTTGAGCACAAGGGAGAAGATGCTAAAGTCAGAAAGTTCCAAATATGAAAATTACAGTAAGCATAGCTGAAAACAGCACAGACGATAATGTTGCTTCCCTAGCTCTGCTTTCTACAGAACTGAATTCAATTTAGTAGTTAAGTTAATCTTTTCTGTTGTCTTCTAGCATACAGTGTTTACACATATGCTCCAAAGACTGTGCTCTTGGGGTTTGAGTTCCAGTTTGTTGACTCCATGGTTGTTGTTGTTTTTTTGTTTCTTAGGCTTTTCTCCTTTGTAAAAAGGAGATCATGACACTAATTCAGAGTTGTGAGTAAGATTTATTGGGGTTATTTAAGTCACCTAGTATGGTGCTGGTGCATAGCAGCAGTAATTCCCTACTTTTTCTCATGTTCTGTTCCCACGTTGACTCCCCTCCTATACCCACCACCTCCAAGGATTTCCCAGTCAATGTGGCTGGGTTTGAGAGAGTCAAGTGTCTCTCTTAATATTATCTAGCACTTAATAAAGACCTAGCTCTTTATTAAGGCTATTTGCTGGTTGAAAACTGATTCATGTAAGTGTTTTGCCTCCTATGGTTGTAAGCAAATCAGTAGAAGAGGTACAAATGTCAGCTGTAATATATGTATAGAGAGAAAAGGATGGATTGGAGCCATGGAAGAGGTACAGGTGAGGAAGAACAGAACAGTAAAGAAGAAAAGCAGTTAGGACAGTGCTGAATAACTGAGTATTGACTAGTTTGTTAACCCTCTGAGACATTTCTGTCTAGAGGTCAAGACACAAAGAGAAGACGAAGCCTGAAAGATTAGGTCCGTTTATTTCTAATTGAAACGATATACTCCTTCACACACTATGGTTTCCTGCACTCAGCTAGTGCCATTCAAAATAGCAGTAGGGAGACATGCTCCAGATAGGCTGAACTTGATCACGGTTATTCTTTTCAGAAGGAATTCAGTCCATACCCTAGGTGACCTGAAATCTTGGCCTCGTGGGTTTGTCCTTTAGCTATTTACCAAAAATGCCTCCATTTCAGTCACTCGGCCAGGCACAGATAGAAGGTATTCGGGTCCCGTAAGAGCACTCAGACACCAGGAACAGAGCTGCCATCAGGCAGAAGTGGAAGATTCCCATCCATCATTCTACTGCGTTTGCCTGAGTTGGCTCATCTCTCTGCCAAAGTGGTTTTAAGCCACTTATTGCTTTGACCCTGATTCTCCAATATTAAACTGCTGGTCTCTCTCCACCAGCTATATGGTTTCTTCCCATCAGGCCTCTATTCACTGTGTTCCCTCTGACTGGAATGCCCCTCCCCCCACCCTTCACTAACACCAAAACTTGTGTTTTCAGGACTCAATTCTGTTTCCCTGGAAACTTTTCTTAACCCCCTAATACAGAGTTCTGTGCTCTTGTTGCACTTATTCTCCATTCATTATTGCTCTTGCTACATTATATTATAATGCTTGGTATGTCTCCCTCTCCTCCTGTGTGTGTGTGTGTGTGTGTGTGTGTAGTGTCTATTAAGTCTAGGTCCTTAAATGTTTTAAATGCCAGGTTCATAATCTAGGAACCATCAAATACCCTGTTGAGGAAATAGGAAATACATTGTTTCAGCATATTTTTGAAGAAGCGATGTCCCCAGACAAAGGGAACTGATAGTTTCTGTGGATTCAGCATCTCTCAAATACCAACATTGTCTTTATAGCTAAAACTTACACCAATATTTAGAGGTATCCAAGGCAGACAGTGTTAAGTCTAGAGTGAGTTTGTAAAAGTGCCAGCAGACAAAAAAAAAAAAAAGTCTTTGTTTTTCCTCACCTGTTCTTTTAAAATAATCCCCTTTGGAGTGCCCATGCATTTTAATGAAGTACCTTGCGTAAATGAGGCCAAAGGGTTTGAGACCCATTTCATGTTTTTAATATTATTATTACAGAAATGTTCATAGCCTTCTATAATTGCATTCCTGAATTATAAACCTGTTCTTTTGTGTGAAGATGACAATCTTCAATTTGTAAACCACACATATAAGAATAGGCCCTTAACAGGATGTAAAAGACACTTGAATAATTATAGTTTAATAGGGCAATTATCTCCTACAATACCACAGGTTAGGCTTGATGCTGCTTTGATCACAAGAATAAGGGCATTGAATCTGATTGAAAAAAACAGGGAGACTTTTCATTGCTCCTGAAAAGCATCAGAAATGTTAGAAGAGGCCAATGGGATAAATATACAAAGTTTGAATTGTATAAATTCATCACTCATTCTAAAAGCAATTAACACAGATCACTTTACATTTTCCCTAATTATATCAATTTATTTATTGCCACCTTTAAAAATAGAGCCCTGGACTGAGGGTTTGAAGACATAATTATTGCACCTGGCTCTATTATTAACCATCGGTATAAGGCTGGGACATTTGGGCCTCAGTTTCTACATTTGTGAAAAAGAAAATCAGGTTGCAATCTTCATGGTTGGACTTAAATGCTTTTATCTTTGGCCTTTGTTTTGCTTAAATTCAGTATAAGCACCAGCAGTTATATACTGTTGAATGGAAGGTGGGATTTCTCCCAGGGAGTTTTGATTCAATGGATGAAAAGATTTTCAAAACTCCTCCCTCATGTCTTCCCTTGTTGATGCCACAACTGAATAGACCTGCTGCCATCTAAATTTAAGATTAAAAATCATGAATTTTAAAAACACTTTAAATCCACTGGGAAGTTAAAAAGTAACTATATGCTTTAAATGCTTTTATATGGCTTTTTGAAGCTGGATCTCTATTAAATCCTGTTAATTAGATGCTGAGGGGGACTTCTGAATATTATTCATAAAGTTGCCACTGATATTTTTTTCATCCTTTGGGAGCATTATCTTTACTAGTCTTTATCTTACAGAATTTACATGTTTTACAGTTTGAGGTAATTGGGTACTGCAAGATTATAAGATCAAGGTTTTCTAATTCCCTTTCACTACCTACTTTCCTATGTTTGGGGAAGCTTCCCTGTTCTAGAAGACAGAAATAAATAAATATCATCCATAATAAGGTTAATATTTTTGAAAATATTTAACTTGTGTTTCTTAAATAACATTACCCTACAACCCTCTCATTCATTAAGTGAAGGTCATTCATTGCTTGAAGAACAAATTAGATTTTGTCTAGAGTAGGTTCACCAAGTGTATTCTCTGATCAGCAGCATCAGCATCACCTGGAAAATGGTTATAAATGCAAATTCTCAGGCCCCATTCTTGTCCTACTAAATAGGAAACTCTTCTGGTTGGGGCCAACCACTCTGTGTTTTAACAAATTTTCCAGGTGATTCTGATGCACACTTAAGTTTGAGAACACTGGTCTGGAAAAACAACAAGAAAAATCATTGCTTAGCTTTGAGTCTCCAAGCTGACTTTCTTGAGTCTCTAGAAGGACAAGCTTTGAAAACCAGGTTTTATGGAGTGAGAGAATTTCTAAATAGAAAAGCTTACCTTTGCATTGAAGTGAAAGCCTTACTGCTCTGAAAACAGAATTTTACTAAAAGCCATAGTACAGAGAACACACAGGATGTGACGTAGGGAGAGTTCCTTGCAGACAGGAAGGGGAGTGGGGAGCCCAAAACCCTTCTAAGCCCCAGAGGAAGAGAAGAGAGAGATACAGAGACACAAAGGACCTTGCATTTCCCCTTCATGGGGGAAATACCTGGGGACATGGGGAGAAGAAAGAAAGCAGGAATAACAGAAACACCCCAATATAATAAATATTGCTCTTATGATTTTGAGAGCATAGTTCTAGAAATTGATAGCCCCACAAAGAAGTCCCACATTTGGCTTGGTACCATGTCCAACTTGGTGCCTGAGCAGCGGCTATGACATTAGCTGAAGACAGATTCACAGGCTCTTCTCAGTGTGAAGAAAGGAGGCTGACTTCCCAGGCTCCTCAGGTGGCTCCTCAGAAAACTGGTGTAATCAGAACAGGGGCAGGGCCTGGTCAAGGAGACTACAGAGTAAAATGATCTCTAGGGTCCTCAGTAGTGAGGGGAGCCACCATGAGTTTCAACAGGGGGTGCTAGCATAATGTCAGTTTTCACACACTCCAATCTTAAACCGAAATCTTCCTGATCATGCTAGTTTGATCTACAAACTATTTTAGCCATAATGCATGGACAATAGCAAGAAACATCAAAAAGGGAGAACATTCACTGTGTTGTTAGTGCTCTCTCAATTTTTAAGCTGTGGCTTGGAAACATTTGAGTATCTTTATAGCTATGATCATCTTTTTGAGGTCCCTTAGATAGTTAATAATTTATTGAAGTTGGATGGTCAGTGTCCACACTCTTGGAAGACTTGTAGGAACTATTTGATCCATAAGCACGCTCTCATGGTTACCTCCTGAATCCTACTACTGTAATTCTCCAAATTCCTTTCCTGCTTCTAGTCTTTTCATCCTATCTGATCCATTTGCATAACAGGAATCGCTGATAACATACAGATAAAAAAGAAAAACGAAAACCTCAATCTTCACAATCTAACTGACATATTAACCCCGGAAATCTCTTAACATTCTGGTAGGCAAAGCCCAATCCCAACTCTGTCTCAGATGCAGCTGCAAGAATTTCCTGCAGGTTCAAGTGCCCTGCCTGTGTTTCAGGTTGTTCACAGAGGGCCTTGCTGAGATCCACAGGCCTAAAATTCATGGGGCTGTGACATTAAATTTGACACAGTAAACAATTTCTATCTTATTAGAAATGTCACACTTGTAGCTTCTCCTGGTAAGAGAATCTTAATTAAAATGGAGACAGTTTCTTTACTTCAAAAAGCAGAGATAACAAACTCAAATGAACTAGAAACATTCAATTGTTCAGGAGCACTCCTCGGCTTGCTTTCTATGCCTGACACTCCCAAGACAGCATCATGGTTAAAACATAGTAAGTACTGAGGTATTTTTACAAACGCATGCAATCCTCTAATGTTTTCAAGGCATGCCCCTTCTGAATATGGTTTTTATATTAGCCCTATATGGGTATTGCTTTAGATGGGAAAACTTATTTTGTATGGCACCTGTAACAACTCAGAAGACAGAGACATACATTCACAGAAACTGATTAAAGATAAGGTGACCTAAGCCCTATTTATTTTTTTATTAGTTTTTGCTATTCTTCAAACAAATGAACAACAACAAAACAAAACAAAACAAAACAAAACAAAAAAACAAAGGAAGAGAGACACTTTAACAGCTGGCAGCAGAAAGATATCTTTTCATTTCTATCCCAAACCTTCAGTCTAGCCCATAGCAATAGTGAATACATAATATATTTTTGTTGAATGAAGGAATGAGTTTATGGATGAATGGACGAAGGGAGGAATAAAACGTACCAATTAAAAAGGAGAATGAGAATGACAAAAATCCCACAATGCAATGTCGAGGTTGGAGATAAATAATAGGTCACAAAACAGCAAAATATTATAGGTGCTCACTATTTAACTGAAGAAATAAAGAATGGAGAATCAATTAAATATTAATTGATTGTGGTTAGAAAACCATTCTCGTTTGTAATAGAAAAATAATATTTTTGTTTATCTCTTAACAAAATATGATTTGCCTTGATATAGAATTATTCTTAATAGGAATTAATGTAAAATTATAAAAAATAATTGTGCATTAAAATTCATGTGGTATATAACTAGAGAACATACGCCAACAAATCTCCAGGGAGGAATCCTAGACATATTATAGAGCAGTGAAAGATGCAGTTCATTTAATTAAGAATCAGGAAATTTGGGTTCTAGTCACCGTTATACAATATACAACTATGACTGTGACATTGTGCGAGTCACATGTTCTTCCTGGAGTGTAGACTTCTCACCTAAAAAATGAGGGAGCTTACAAACCATGTTTCTTGAAGCCCTGGATGTTCTGTGGTACAAGTTTAAGCAGCTCCACTTTTTTTTAAATTCAAGTATAATTAACATATGTGTTGGCAGGATTTCATTCTTTTTTATGGCTGAGTAATATTCCATTGTATGTATATGCCAGATCTTCTTTATCCATTCATCCATCAATGGATACTCAGGCTGCTTCCATATCTTGGCTATTGTAAATAATGCTGCTATAAACTTAAGGTTGCACTTATCTCTTTGAATTAGTGTTTTCATTTTCTTTGGGTAAATAGCCAGTAGTAGAATTACTGGATTATATGATATTTATATTTTTAATTTTCCAAGGAGCCACCATACTGTTTTTCCACAGTGGTTCCACCAGTTTGCTTTCCCAGGGACAGTAAGCAGGGGCACTTTTATGCTTTACAGTTGGGGTCCCGGGAGAGATTTCATTAGAAGAAAGGGAACTCTGACTAACTCCCCCCACCCCTGAAAACACTGGCCATATGGATCTCTAGATTTTACTGATCTAAATATTCAGATAATAAATTACTTATTTGAGAATGCTTTTTGAGTCTTAACTTCAGGGTTGTTTTCAAAATGTCGAATAAGTGATATGACACCGGCACCAAACAATGGGAAAAAAAAAAGTGATGAAGCAGGACAAATTGGCTGGATATTGGTTTTCCAAAGGAATGGGAGCATGACTTCTCCTACTGTGGGAATCCAGAATAGCTTTCACTATTCCTGCTCAAGGAACTCACTAACTTAAGGTGCCATCCAAGGAAATCAGAACTTAGCTGCCTGTCTGGATAGTATCTGCAATTGTACCATAGAAACACAGATAAGATGCAGCTCCAAGTAATGGAAAAAACATGATCCCTCAAGTCATGAAACCCTGCGAGGTCAACTGTAGAAGTGAGAGCAAATGAAATGTGTACAGAAATCCTTTGGGAACTGTAAAGTGCTGGCTGTATATAGATGAGTGATGGTATTATGTGAAATGCATGCTTACCTCGTTGTTGCAGAAGCAGTAAATCACGGCAACGAAGAATCCCTTAAAAAAGGAGGAAAATAGAATTGAAGTTATTTTTGTGTGCATTATGTTATTTAGGAATCAATATAAATAGCCTGGAGAGGAACATTTCACTGTTGCAACAGCAAGTGAAGGCTCAAGAAAAGACAATTACAGCACTTATATCCAGTGTTTTATTACAAGAATATTCCATTTTAAAGGGATATAGCTTCCAGCTTGGGGTCCAGTAGAGGCATTTCATACGGATATAAACATGTGCTTCTCTACCCTGTGTTTTCTTGGCATTGGGGACTATGATGATAGAAATCTAGGTTGGGAAACTGACTGACATTGGTGATGTTGATCTTCAAAACTCCCCTTCATGAAGGAAAAACAAATGTGGCCCTCAAAATACTAGAGAGGGGAAGGAAAGGTTGAAAGGATGGTGGCAATAGAAGTTCTGTCCTCAGTACTGTGCAGTGGGCCCATCCCTGGACAAATATTTGTCCTTAGGAAGATTTGTTCTCAAAGCTCATACTCCCCCTATTTCCTTCTTCAGTTTTGGGATTCAAAAAAAGGGGAAACAGGCAGTGAGAAAGACAGAAGCTGTATCCCTTCCAGGTTGCATATATTTGAAAAGGTCCTTCTAATCATATATGAGGCCTAGAAAATGGTTCACATTATGTCAACTAGCTGAGCAAGTAGTTGAGTAAATACACTATTGGCTTCTTTACCTGGAAATGGATCAGAGAGTGCATCAGGTAATCATAGATCTTCCCAAGCATCTTGTTGGATGGCCTCCAGGGAAAGACGACAAACTGGATTCCCAGCAGGGGCACCAGGATCAGGGTGGCCCTCACAGCCTTCAGGTACATATGCGATTCCGCCTCTTGGGTTTCCCTCAGTTTGCTTACAAGCACACGGACAATGTTGAGCAGGAAGAAGAAATTGACCTGCAAAGATATGATGTTTTGAAGAAATCATCTATGTCAGTACTACTGAAGGGTGCCCACTTTCCTCAGTTCTTGTTTATTCCTGGGAGCAGATGTGACCTCTGCAGGACATGAGGGATGGCCTGTGACATGGTGTAATTTGCTAAGCACTGCTGGGAACATCAGTATGACCAGACCCTTTCAGACCTGAATTAACATTTCTTTTTTTTTTTTCCAAATGAGAAAATATTATTCCTGCATATGTAAATATATTAGGTTCAATTCTAAGGAGGGTGGTTTATTCTTTACTTTGGTTTTTACATTTTTACAAAGGTTTTACATTTTTACATTTTTACATTTTTACATTGCATTATGAAGATTTTCCCTGTAGGCAAGACTACTTAACCAAGGCTGAAATGAGGACCGAGACATTTATTTGTAAAGTATTTGTAGTGGAGACAGCGAACCCAGCCTTCTTTTCTCTTTCATAACATCTTTTTAAAGACAATCACTTCATTGAGGTATAATGCACATTCAGTAAAATGGAGATTTTAAGTTTACATTCCAGAAGTTTAGAGAAAGGTATGCACCTGTGTAACAAACACTCCAAACGAGAAAAGAGCATTTTCATCACCCCAGAAAGTTCTCTCCTGCTCCTTTGTGGTCAACAACCCCCTCCCCTCCACCTCAAGCAACCACTAATTTCTGTTAGCATAGAAGTGGAGTATTATATGGTATGTACTTTTTTTGTGTGTGTCTGGCTTCTTTGCTTTGACATATTATCTGTGAGATTCATGCATGTTGGATATATTAACATTTCATTCATTTTTATTGCTGAGTAGTACTCTATTATATGGGTAATACAGATAATTTGTTTATTTATTCTACTGTTGATGGAAATTGGCATGGTTTCCACAATTTGACTATTATGAATAAGCATGCAATGAATATTTTCATACAAGTCTTTGTGTGGACATATGTTTTCGGTTCTCTTGAACAAGTACCCAGGAGGAGAACTGCCTGTTGACATGGTAAGCATGTATTTAACTTTATAAGAAACTGCCAAACTATTTTTCAAAGAGGTGGCTCCATTATATGTTCCCTCCAGCACTAGATGAGAATTCCAGTTGTTCTCCACCCTTGCCAACACTTGGTATGGTCACTCTTTTTAATATTAGCCATTCTAGTGGGTGCCAAACTACTTTTGGCTATGATGATTAGTTTTGAAACCAAAGTTGTTTTTAAAATTTAATTGATGATTTATTTTTAAATGATTAGAATGATTCTTCAACCTGGAAGAGAAGTAACATGATTACCCCCAAAAAATTCAGTAAAGGAGAGAGACCTTTATTAACAAATAAACTCTTACGAGGGGTTGGAAATATTCAAGACCTACATCGGTGGGTCTTTGTGAGGACTGTCAGGCTGGTAAGTACATCACTGCTCTGGAGGAGGGCAGAAGAAATTGGCTTTGGACTAGAGACACTGGTTACTAATGAATACTTCTTCAGTATGGGAGCAGAACATGGTGTATGACTCAGACTGTTTTTATTTTTCTCATTCGTACCCCAGGAAAACACTGTCTTTGAGGTTGGTGGGAAAACTAATGTCTAAATATTAAATTTGGTGGTTCTGACACTGGTCACCATATAGTAAACGCTGGGTAGAAACAGAGAGCTTGGAAATAGATGCAGATGGTCATATTCTCCACTACCCCAACTTCTTACTAGCCTATGTGATTTGGGGTGAGTTTACTTGCATCTTTGGGTCTAGTTTTCCTACTGAGTAAGGGTTGCTTTTTGAAGGGTTGCTGTTAGAAACAACATGGCAGCGTATGAGAAGTGCCTGAAATACGTTAAGTGTCTGCTGAGAGGGAGTTCCAATGATGGCTCATGTGCCAAAGATGAAATGAAAGATGGTTTTGTTTGGCAGAGACCAGGGGAAAAGGTGCAGATGGACTCTGCGGTTTTTCACTTTCTTTATCAGAAACATTTTTTATCATTCTTCAGCCCCTTGATCTTTACTTTTAACTAGAACCATTTAGTTATAGAATTGTTTAAAGCAAAATTGTAGCATTGAAAACTATATTTTTGTTATTGTGGGTGTAAAAATGAACTTATGTCCTTTCCCCAGTTGTGTTAAATGTTATTTTTTTCATTTGAAGACCCTCAAATAAAGTTGTTACAGATTATCTCACTATAGATTATCATTAAATTAGCCTAATTTTGAAGTTCGAATACACATGCTACATAGATCCGTCTTTACAGAAATCCTCTCAAAGAGGTAACACTTAATAATGGATTTAAAAAGCAATTCTCAACAACAATAACAAAATAAATAAAAAAGCAATTCTCACCACCAGTGCTGCCATGACGGGGCCGTGGATGATGTAAAGCAAATGGGTTTCTACACTCAGCCAGCAGCTAAAAAAAATAAAAAATAAAAAAAAAAAATAAGGAGGGAGGGAATACATGAATATAAATGCATTTTATTTACAAATATGTTCACTTAAAAACCATCAAAATACTTACTTGTCATTGAAGTACAGCGCCCGAGTAATAGCATGGATAGTGGTCGGCACCAGTGGGAACCCTAAAAATGTGAGAAAGCAGAAATCACACCTGGTGTCTTGTCATAAGCTACAAGTAGGGTTGCATGGAAAATGGTAGTTTATTTTCAAAAACAGTGGCAAATTTTAATGTCTCTGTCAAAATATTTCCCTGATGTTTTTGCACAAAGTATTGTTGGTCAAACCAGATAAAAATGCTCTTGGTTAGAACATCATGTGTTTTCAGAATTTGGTTAAGAGCATTTCTAGGTAATTAAAAACCTTGTATGAATTATCCAAGATGGTAGGTACATTATTACTCTCACTATAACTATTATGTCATTGTTGTCTGTGGTGGTGATGATGATGATGATGACGACTATTAGCTGAGACCAGAAAGCTCTTCACTGAGTGTGAACTGGATTCTGCTATAGAGAGGAGTTGGGTCACCATGGAGGGAAGTGACCTGGGACAGCTTATGGAGGCAATCACCTGATTGCTCTGAATGCCTCGATGATGTTCATAGTGGTTTTTGTAGGTTTCTTGTGTTTTTGTCTGTTTATATTACATGCATTGATCATGTTTTCTTTCTGTAAGAATACTTCAGAGCAGTACTGCATTCCCTACCCTCTGTAAGTTCTAGCTGCAGAACCCTTATTAAGGCAGCTTACCATCCACTTCCCTGACTAAACTTGAAGGGCTAATAAAAAACAACTTTGAATTTACAAATGGAACAATGAAGGTCGTGACTGGCAATGCATTCTGTCAGGGTACATGTTTTCAAAATCATTTTTCATTCTATCAGTGTAATCTAGAATAAAGTTGTAATTCTTGTAAAACAAAATTTTTTTTTCCTCAGAGGTACCCCTGCCCAACAGAATATTGTTTGATTTGGTTGAGACATTTGTGGGAAGACTTTTTAAAATTATCATCAGATTAAGAAATGTATCTGAGAAGTGGGTTAGACCTCCACACTTTTTTTAATTTTTAAAGAATGCTTGTTTTTGAGGGAGAGAGACAAGAGTGTGGCCAGGGGAGAGGCAGAGAGAGAGAGAGAGAGAGAGAGACAGACAGACAGACAGACAGACAGACAGAATCCAAAGCGGGCTCCAGGCTCTGAGCTGTCAGCACAGAGCCCAATATGGGATTCAAACTCAGGAACTGCGAGATCATGACCTGAAGTGAAGTCAAATGCTCAACTGACCAAGCCACCCAGGTGCCGCTAGACCTCCACACTTTTATTTTCTGTGAGTTATATGCAAAAACAGCCTCAGCTCCTTAACCCATGAAGCATATAATTCAATAGGGCTACTGATTAAATGCTTGACCTGGGAGAATTTTGAGTTAGACTATTTGCACAAAATATAGTTGTATTTTATTCACAGCAGTTATAACATAGCATTTCCCCACTTGGGTTTTAAAAACAGAAATTCATTCTCTGGATTTATTCTGAAACTTACATTTTAGAATTAAACAGCAGAAGAAGCATATGGAGATCTCACTCTCACCACATCATTTTGGAGAGAGGAAAATGTGTTCCTTAGTGTACAGAGGAGCATAGACCCCATATCTGCTGATTCCTGGTGCTCTTTGCCTTGCTCTAGCCACTGATGTCTCTTTTATGCAGTTTGTTTTCTCCTTCCTCTTCCTCTCATCCCCCAGGGCCCCAAGAGCTGTAACAACCCTTCCTTCCACTAAAGTTGGTGAGAGTAAAAATAATCCTTTCTCCCTAGGATTCTTTTTCTAGGGAACTAGATAAATTCTGTGTGTTCATTGTAAAAGTCCATGGGGGGAATTCCTTCTTTGATTTATAACAAGAGGAGAACCAGCAAGGCGAAGAATCAATTTGAAGAGGGTTGTAAAATAAGTGACTTTTCTGAGAGCTAAACTTCACTATTTGAAACTGCTTCAATTTGAGAGAAGTCAACTAGTAAGTGGCCCTGTGCAGATTTGTAAGGGAGTAACCACCAAAAGAAGCATTCTTTCACTTTCTCTTGTAGAGAACTGTACTACCAGGTACTTTGCTCCCAGAGGGTGATGTTCATTATGTCTCTTATGATTTTTAGGATCTGTTCCAGATCCTGGAGTGGTAATATTATTCACAGCTGAAATGAATGGATGGGGTGTGCGTCACCTGGAAACAAAGTTAGGTCTGAGGACATAGCTTTCTGGGGCTAAATCTTCGCTGTTCCACTTTCATACTCTTTTCAAAGCACAGGTTATGCCTTATTTCATGGCATTGTAAAATTTGGGATCTATCATACTGTTTAGGTGTGAAATAATTTCAAAAGGACAATAAAAGTAATATCCAGTGGAAATGCCTTCTCTGCTCCATTAAATTCTTTAAAGATTCTGTGACATTATTTTTCTGGAGAAGTCATTTCAGTTGCACTTTTACTTGTTTTACCCCGACCAAAGATAATACTTGCTAAAGTTCTAAGACAGAACTATTGCTTTAAAATGCATCATCATGGTTGTCTCTCAATTTTGTTCTTAGAGATGGTAAAGAGTTTGGTGGAATTATGGAGTGTGTGTGTGTGTGTGTGTGTGTGTGTGTGTGTGTGTGTGTAGGGGGAGAGAAAGATAGATTTATGTCTGGCATGCTAAAAAATAATTACACTTTAGAACTTTATTGGTTGACTATCTGTCTTTCCAAACATCTATCTATGGGGAAGTGCAAATCCTCATGCTTTTAAATTGATGATTCTATGCTTACCTTACTGAGTGCAATGTTCCTTAGGATTCCACTTCAATCATTCTGATAAAGTTTTAAGTATTTTCTGATTAAGAAAGGTTAAGGTATTCCATAAACATTTTACTTATATTTATTCCTTTCTTTTTGATACAGCTGAACAGCTTGTTCCTTTTTCCCCTTGAATTGTTTATGCGTGTTAAGCAGATGTCTTCATCAAGCTGTCTCTGATGATGTCAAAAGTTTTATAACTAATTCACAATGCATCAGTATGGAAAGAGTAGTTATAAATTGTTCCTTCCAGGGTGCCCTCATCTCTGCTGAATGTCACGGGCAAGAATAAATTTATAGCCTTTTGCTTCCATGGAAAATTTTCTGAGTATGGCAGATAGATGTTTTTGAATAGTCAGAACCAGTACAAGAAATATGCCATAAATTTTAGGTCATTGGAAATAAGTAAAATACATCAGACAGAAATGGTGTGTGTGCGCGTGCGTGCGTGCGTGTGTGTGTGTGTGTGTGTGTGTGTGTGTGGCAGGCTGGGAGTGTGATGTTATTTTCAGGTCTTCAGTTGGAAGGCATCTATCTGACCAGCACCAATCATTACTATTGTGATGATCAGAATTTCTTCTGGGGGCATTAAACTGTATCCAGTTGATTCCTGGTATGATCATCTTTGGAGGACTAGAAATCTCTGACAAGGTATGTGTGAGGCTGAGAAGGTCAGGGAAAGGTAAGATCAGCCTTCTGTGGAAGGACACAGCTAAAAGAAAAACATAATAAAAGGCTATTTTGACCTTTGTATTCTGACCTGTTCTGAGGACAAGGAAGAGTAAGAGAACCTAACACTTGATGTGGGACTGACAGGATAGTCACAAACTTTCTTTCTAATCTTTCTGGATTTTGTAAGTCACAGAATGAGGGGAGCATGAAGGAGTAGTCCACAAGATGAGGTGGTTTGGGGTGTATTCTATATGGGCTTTCTAGTTCAAAAAAACCCCTCTCCCATTTTTTCTGGATGGGTCACCATCCCCAGACATGTCTGCACTATGTGATTAATATCCCTTTCAAAGTCTTTGACCATGGTTTATTGAACCATGGCTGGCCCCATAACTTCAGCTGAACCAATCAGATTTTCTTGTCCTGCTATTCACAATTGGGACTTAGAGACGAACATCTATCTAGTGTTTCTGTGTACCTGGAACAGAAAAATGCGAGCTCGGGAAAATTTGGGGTGACTTGTGTTTACCACGAGGACTGGGGGAGCAGAGACCCTGTGATCTATGTTCTGTAGACAAAGAGAAGTGTTAAAACATATACTTAGAAAAAAAGAGACAAAAGAGAGGGAGAGTGTTCCTGGTCTTCTGGTCTCAGTGTATAGTTCGTTCAGTAGCTGAGCTGTGTTTCAGATCTTGACTTCCATGAAGTACTCTAGATTCTGATAATTTCTCTCTTTTTGTTTAAATTAGAAAATTGTATTCTCTGTTACTTGCAACCAAAGTGTCATAGCATTATTAGCTCAACAATGAGACTGCCCAAATATCTGCCCTACTAATTCACCATTATAGACTTATTCCATTGGTTTTGGGTCATGTGTTTTGTTAAAGTCCATATACTCCTATTGGGGAGGGTGTTATAGAAACAAATATTGCATAGGGCCAGTCCTGGTGTAGATTATAGAAGATTTAAGGTCACTTATATGACTTCCCAGACACATTTCCATACATTGGTGACAATGCCTGTTGAGTAGGGGTTTAAATACAAAGGGTCATGTTTTTAGAAAGCCTTTGGATTATCTTCTCTCCTCATTAAATTTTTCCTCTCTTATCAATATTTTTAGGGGTCCCCCAAAATGCTGCATTAAAGGGCAGGTTTAATTGAGGACAATCCATAGCCCCTGCTCCAATAGCCATCATCACCCTATTAGTGGAGAATAAGAGTAAGCCTTTAGCTCTACAGTCAGGATCCTCCTCTGGTCTGGGAGGTTCACAGGATGTGTCTTTTTTTGATAGCACTGCATGAGTTATTGTCCCAAAGCTTTTTCCCTCTTCCTGCCTCACTACCTACCCAGTTTCCTTCCACCAGAATGAGTCATACCTTAGCATACTTGGTGAAGGGGAGAAATTTTAGAGTAGCCTCATGGACCTCAGCACCCTTAGTCAGTATGTACAGAAGTGACCATGGTTTAAGCAATCAACCAGAGGCTTTTCAAAGTCATTGCCATGCACTGTGGTGTCAGGTGGCTCCCCTTGGAGTCCCATGAAATTATTTGTGTCTATTGTTCAGTGGGGCTCTTCTACCTGACTTTTTACTGGAGGAGTTGTTGATGGATTGCTAAGAAGGAATGTTTTTGAGGAAGGGGAGTGGTGCCTGGATGGAGGAGATACAGAATTCAAAATGTGAGACTCTCTACAAACAGGTGATAAATAAAACCGAAGGGAGGATCTAATCATATCTCTCAATGAGAGCATGTTTGTCTGTCTGTTAGCTGGTCTGTTCCCACAGAAACACATAATCATACTCTTCCTTCTCTGCACTGACCCCTGTGCTGGCCACAGTCCATATGAACTTGTTGATGGGCTTCTACCGAGCTCTCTTGGAGACTGAACTCCTGCCCCCACCTGTGTCCCACCATTCCTCACAAGACCTAGGCCCCTGACTCTTCTCTGAGACCAAGAGTAGAAGAAGATTGTAAATATGCAGACAGAAGGGAAGGTGGCTGGAAAAAATACATACCCCAGCCCAAGAGATAATACCAACGCAGGTGTTGCTCCTCAGTGAACACAGCCACCACGATGAGTGTGTGCAGGTAGATTCCCTCACAGAGCATCCAGAAGTAGTTGCATGCCATCATGTACTGGTGAAAAAAGTGCAAAATCTTGCAGCTCAGCTGTCAGAAAGAAATGGAGAAAGTCAGTGGAAGACACTGGCAATGGTCTGACAGTGAACAGAGGGTAAATGCGAAAATGAGCCAAAGTATTAACATTCAGTCTGCAGGGCGTCTCCCCAAGGATCTGTGGACACGCGCCACCCTCTATATCCACAAGTCAGAATGATAGTGTGCAGAGCAGTAGTATTACAGGTAAACAGCCATCCAGGGCGATGGAAACCTACTCCTCAAAATGCTCTTTTCCTATTACATTCTGGTGACTTATATAGACTAGAGAGGTTGATTTCCCTGCAATGTTTCTGAGGCCTATAATTTTTGAGAGCATCCAAGGCTTTTTCACGTGGCATTTATGGCCCTTTTTCTGTGGCCAATGAGGCAAATAACCCAGAACTTGTTAGTGATGTTCCTAAAGTTCACTGATCTGTTGGTGAGGTCTCGTTAGCAATACAGAGGAGAGAACCAAGTGATACATTTCTCAAAAATGAGCCAGGAGCTATGCTGAACCCAAATGATGTGGGTGATTTTGTTTTCATATGGGGGGCTTAGCTTCTTTCTATATTGAGATCCAAACGTTTGGTGCACAGAGATTAGGATAGCAATCTTATTTAGTACTCAGTGCAGATGTAGGAGCCATACCTCTGGAGGAATCAGAGCAGCTACATAGTGTTGTCTGTAGAGAAATAATCATTGCTTCAACTGAATAACAGAATACCCTAAATTATTTCATAGTCACCTTTAGAATAGGGCTTTTCATCTTGGCACCACAGATATTCTGGACTGGATGATTTTTGGTTGTGCTGGCGCTGTCCTATGCATTACGCGTTATTTGGGTATTTAGCAGTATTCCTGACCTCTGTCCACTAGATGCCAGTAGCATCCTCCACCCATTCATGAAATCAAAAATGTCTCCAGACATTACCAAATAGAGGAAAATGCCCCTGGTTGAGGAACACTACCCTAGATACCTAAATACCTAGGGTATTTAGTGGTGTTTAACTCTCTCTAACAACAATGGCAACAACAACATTTAGCATTTAAGACTTGGGGCATTAGAGATGATTATCTGCATTATTATTTTACCAAATGCCCTGCTTTACATATCGCATGTTGAATCTGACCAATTTTGGGCCTTTTTTCACTAAGTAAGGTAGTCATAGCATGACTGTCAGTACTATAGTAACCTTCTTAGGACTACACGTTTCTATTTAATGCATAGCAGTAATAATTTATTTACTGACAATCCAATGTGCTCAGTCCTTTTGGGACTCATAGAACATAGGGAAAAGCCAGCTGGGTCCACAAAAAGGCAAATACTGCGTTTTCAGAGATAGAAGCAACTTCTGATTCTGTCCAAAGTGGAACAGTAATGCAGAGAATTCAAAACATCAGGTAACCCAAAAGTAATTAATATTTGGCTTAGGAAGGTACTGGCTTTTTTTTTTTCCATCTGAATGGCTTCCTGATTAGAATTATTTAATTTTATATTAGTTTGTATTTGCTACACAAATACTTGCTATATGCACACGAGACTCAAACATATATTTGAAATAAGAAATTCAGTTGACTCTCACTACTCTTATTTAAAAGCCCTATACCTTCTGGGTCAAGAATTCCAGTGGAGATGTTTTGCCAGCCACCACTTGTGGAGGAAGGGAGAGGAAGAGGATGAATATGACAGCCCTGTGCAAAGATGTGGTTCTGTGTCATCCACAGCAGCTTTGGATTCAGGTTTTACATACAGTCAATTCTCATTACTCACAGCTAGTTATGTTCTATAAAGTTGCTGCAAAAACTGATTTAGCAAATGCTGAGCCATTGCTCCTAGGGGAAACACAGGGTTAGGTTCCTATAAGCCTCTGGTCAAAATATTTTCATCAGCCGATCAATATCTAACTTTGTTTTATATGTTTCTGTTTAAAGACACCTTATTTAATATATATTCTTGATTTGTTAACATTGAACTTATGACCAACAGCACTATAACTTCTGCCTGAGGGAAACTCATCTAGCATACCTATTTTTTCTGTAAGGTGTATCACAGCCAACTTGTACTTAGGAATATGACAACACTTTGGCACTATGCTTGGGGGCTATTTTAAGCAGTGAAATCACCCAACAAAAGCAACAAAGTGTGAAAAACATGGCATTTAAATAGACCATGAAAAGGACATTTATGCTATGAGAGATGAAATAAGAAGACAGAGTGTTGCCTTGTTCAACCTCAGCTGGGAATGTGTACATCAAGTGACTCAGTGTTTTTTTGCTACTCCGTGCATATCTGTAAATGGCCATGAAAGCACTGAGAATATGGATTTTGGACTTATAAATAAATTTTAGCAAGTAGGCAAATTTGCAAATATGGATCTGTCAATAATGAGGATCAATTATATTTGGGTTCAGGGTAAGATATTCTTTGGAGGGCAAATGGCTCAAAAGTTCACAAAAATTCTGAAAATGACCAGTCTATTATTCCCCCCCCCCAATGTATCATGGACATGATTGGATATATCTAGATGATGAAGTTGATTATTAAAATTTTATAAAATTGGTCACCACTTAGGTCAATGGTTCATAACTAGGGTTGTTTATCTGTATCACCTGGGGGACACTTACAAAATATGCATAACCAGACCTCATCTCCCTTCTGTATTTTCAAAATATTTTAGGAGTTTCTATTGTAAGTTCCTAGTGAAGAATCATGTGCCTGAGATATTCAAGGTCATTCTGTTGCATTCCACAAACATTTACAGAGCACCTAATATGAGCCAGGAACTATACTAACTCTGTGAATATCAAGATGAATAAGGTGTAGTCATATTATCTCTGACTTGATTATAACCTTTCCCTCAAGGATGGGGTGAACCAGGTATTCAACAGACAGACAGGGCTTCTGCTGAGGGTTGGTGCTTCACATCATTCTGGGATAGTTTTCTGCTTAGCAGAATGAGGTATTAAAAGAGTCACTCTGAGCTCAAATAAGCTAAATAGCTTTTTGGCTATTTTTTCAGGCTGTGGTCACAATACTATAATTTTGGTTAAGAGTAATGATTTCCAAAACTGCAAGACATAATCTATATTCAAATATAACTAGATCACTCCCAAGTAATACAACAAATGTTCCAAGCCAGAAATGTGTGGAATTTGTGAATTATTTTCTATTTTATTTTCTTCATTAATATGGACTACAAAGAGATAATTCTACTGTGAATGATATGCATTCTAAAAAATAAAAGCTATAGTATCTGCTTTGGCTTCAGATAAACTGTTATCACCATTTAGTGTCATTATCTGCTCATAATTCAATAGAACATAAAATTTGTTGAGCAATAATGTCACTATCAAGGGAACAGATCCTACAGTTTTCTTAATTGGGTATACTCATCAGACAAATCTGTTTCCCATCAAATAGCATGAAGATATTTTATAGTACTGTGATTAAAAATGGAATTGGAATTGCAGAGCAGAAATTTTCTTTAGTCTAATAAATTAAGTCAGCCTCAAAATCCTATAGAAGATACTCAATTGTGGATTTTGTTCCAATTGTATCTTTCTTTTTTTATGTTTATTTATTCTGAGAGAGAGAGAGAGAGAGAGAGAGAGAGAATCCCAAGTAGGCTCCATGCTGTCAGTGCAGAGCCTGACCACAGGGCTCTGTCCCATGAACAGAGAGATCATGACCTGAGCTGAAACCAAGAATCAGAGGCTTAACCCACTGAGCCACTCACGCGCCCCTCCAATTTTATCTTTCAACACACTTAAGAAAATTCTTCCCATATGTATAGCATAGGAAATATTGTGTGTCAGTGTGTTTAAGAACCATTCAACAGGGGAAAGAATGCCTCCATATGAAAACTGCTTTGGAATTTTTTGTTGTTGTTTTAGAAAAGACCAACCTTACAACAGGTAGTCAGTGTTTTTGAGATGTTCTATTGTGCTGGGACAGGGGAAGGGCTTTGGGTTGAGAAGTAGAAAGGAAATCAGCTATTGCTCCATGGAAGCAGTGCAAGCAACAGTGGGTCACAACCTATATCCTACCTTTAAGCCATTGAAAAATCTACCACGAACCATCCCTGATACCATTTCCCCTATGGGTATGTTACCAGGTCTAAAAGGGAGCTAGGGAATATCATCTTGCCTCTGAGAACTTATTCCACCATCTTCATGATGTCTGAAATGCCACATAATTTCATTTCTTTAGCTTACGATTGTTTTCCTTATTAAAATGTCACACCTCTGGAAAGGATTGCACATTTTAATCCTATCATTTATAGAAAATTTAGAGTAGAAGAATTGAAGAAATGAAAGGGAAGGAGGGTGCAGGATCCTAGGAGGTGCAGATTTGGAATGTGGCATAACAAATGCTTATTACTCTTGTGCTGGAGGAAGGCATTAGGCTGGAAGATTACAGCTGCCAAACACAGATCCTACTTCCAAGAAACTTAGTGTCTTGAAGGGCCAGGGAAGGGCTGCCAAAGGTAAGCTTTGTCCACTGGAAACCTTTGGCAAGGGCCAAGCCAACGCATACTTCATTCTCATAATACATTTTATATGTGACCAAAAACTCTCCTCTTTTACAAAAAAAAAATACTTGGAATTTCTCTCTTTCATTGATAAAATGGAATATCAGGTGAATAGGTTCAGCTTCTATATTAACTCTGTCAAGTCGAAGTTGGCAAGTTTATTCCTAAGTCGTGTTTTAAAGTAGAAATAACGTTTGCAGTAGGTTCAGAGTGATTTTGAGTGATTAAGCATGATTATTTATATTTCCCTGAAGCTTCTAAAAATGTTTTCTCATCAGTTCATTTTAGCACAGAAGGAAGGGTGCAAAGTTATATTTACTTGAGCCAGGGAAGAGGAATCGATAAGCAATCTCTAGATAATTTGCTTGAAGGAAAAGACATTAAAAAAAAAAAAAACCCTGAATAAGAAGGATTTGTGGCCTATATTGGTTAAATTTACCAGGTTAATCTTTTATTAAATTTTACTCAGTGGTCATTTAG